ACAATTAATTTAAATGGATGTCTTTAATATTTAACTATTAATTTATTATAGAAATTAAACTGAAGAAATTTCTTTGATTTTTCATACATTTATCAAAAATCTGATTTAAATCAAAGTTAAAAACCCAGACAAAACACAATTATAAATCAATATATTTTTATTGTATATTTTTCCAAATTTCTGCACGCTTCCCTTATATTTATGTAGACAGGTTCATATTTTTGATTCGTGAAAATCTTTAATATTTGTTGTGACTAAACACATCGATAGTAGACAACTTAGTGACTTGGTTTAAATTAAAATAGCCTCAAACTATCGATTGATCTAAACTTCTAACATTTTATCATTTTAATCCAGTGGCTCTTTACTGGGTCAATAAAGTCTAAACTCCTTGTTTATATCCATTACTTTATTCAAATTGAACTTGGCTGGATAATCTAAACTACTCGTTTATATTAAATACTTTCTTCAAATTAAACTTGGCTGAATAATCTAAACTACTTGTTTATACCAAATATTTTATCCAAATTAAGGGAGCCACCACAGTGACTTACTTGGAGGTCCCGGGTTTGATCCTGGTGTTGGCTGAAAAAGGTTTTCAAGTTCTTCAAGCCGTGGTTTCTGCTTATGTGCATGATGGAAGACCTGTCAAGGAACAGTGTCTAGTTGTTCGGATGGAATATAAAACACCCACATTGGCCACATCCATTAAATTATAACTGTTGAACGTGGTTTCACATGTATGTCTCATCCAAATGACTAGCCAACAATTTCCATATCAGTCCCATGACAAGTGGGAACCAGACCAGAAAAATCAAGGTTCATCTCAGCCAAAGTATTCTGATTTGAAACTTGGACATTCTTATTTGGAGTCCAGTTCCCAAACTGCTCAACCAAGGTGGTACATTCTTGAATCCAGTTCCCAAATTGCTTAACCAATGTGGCCCATTCTTGAACCCAGTTCCCAAACTGCACAACCAATGTGATCCATTCTTGAATCCCGTCCAGATCCCAAACTGCTCAACCAATGTGATCCATTCTTCATAAAGGTTTTTTTAATGCCTAGATGTGCTTAATTATATAATAAACATCAGTCCTTACATTAAAAAAGTACAGATCTTTGACTTTTCAAAACCTATTTAAAAGATGCTGCGCCTTTAAGGGTTATAACAGCACAGTTGTGTATTTGATCAAACAACATGTCGTAATAAACTGGTCAAAGCAACTGTCTGACAAATAAAACATCATTAAATGTAGAACCATCCTTACCTCTAAAAAAAGTTGGTCTAAAACAGAGAGATTGATGAGTCCAAAACAATTGTTTCCCCCGTGATAAATAGACAGACAGAGACTTGTGATTTATTCAACACTAAAAATATACACACACAAATACCGGGAACAACTGTTAAAGGAATGGCGATTATATTACAAAATCAGTCTAAGAAAAGATCAAGAGAGATAGATCAGAGAAAAATCCATCTTTCTGGAGTAAAATTGATGCTGAAGATGACGGGATATTGACAGAGATGAGCTAAAAAAAGAAAAATATTAAGGGTATTAACCTACCAATTGGAGGTATAGATATTTGGTTGAGAAAAAAAGATGAATTTGACGAGTCTTGTTAGGTGAACTATGATAAATTATAACAAAGTTTTTCATATACATTGGTAATAATTCGGGGAATAATTAATTTAGCTGTTAAATAAAAGGACTCAGTTATCAAGATCCTTACCAAATCTAATTCAAATTTGTTTCCATGAAGACAAATGAAATGAAATGGGTATTAACGTCTTACTGTTCTGCTCCGACTGGGCTAATGAAGATGGGTCCATGGAGACACAAAATGTATTAAAATTTCTAATAATCAAAAGGCATAACTACTATAATAGGTTAATATGTGTACAAAGTTTCATAAAGATATCTTAAAGGATTTATGAGATATACTCTCAGTCGATGGAAAATATGAATACCGTCATCATTAGCCAGAAATGTTATCTTCAAGTGAAAAGTTAATATTGAGAGCTTATTAACCTGCCCCAACGTCATCCCTTTCAGCGAAGGTAGTGCCCAAGCGAATATTCACTTCTGATCAGTCATCCAGTTTCCTACCATTGCACCATGTGTTAGTCCCAAATGACAGAGTTTGTGTCTAGTGGATGTTAAACCCTCTCAATCTCTGTGGATAAGATGTGAAGCAGCACTTCACTATGTTTTAAGATGTAAACGAATTAGAAGTATTGCGAAGGTGTTGTAACTCGCTGTGTTATATTGATCCTACTAAATCAGGTATAAATATCTTTAACAATAAACACATTACTGTCTTCTTCTCCTTCTTGTTTAAATCTCCATGCTAAAAACACACACAACCACCACACACAGTTATAGATGATTCATCTAGCTAGCAAATAAAAATATATCTCATACTTAATAACGAAGACAGGCTTAGGCCATGTAGTGTGCTATGAGATAAATGTTTGCCCGACCTACTCTTTATTTCGGATTCCAACTGTCAAGGGTTCTTTTACGTGCACTGCAACATGACACAGGACATCTGAAAGATTAAATGCTGTTCCTTGCCAGACTCCTCTATCTTACACCAAAAATAGGGGAAACCATGCTGGAAAATCTTGAAGTAATTTGTCCGGTATTAAATGGTCATTTTAAAACTTAAATGAGCTCTTGTGCATTTAAAAATGGCTTAATAATGATAACTCATTTAATTCTTTGCAGAGGATTTTTTTGATGAAATAATGTCACATTGTTGTATGATACTAGTTCAGGTCATGATTTGATTGTAATATTGTATTTGTTGCTAAGTGGTTATGACATCACAAGAAAATTCTTTCAGATCTAAACATATAAGAGATATGCATAATTTGTGCAGTTTGCTGAAGTGAAATTACCCCCTGCCACTCAACCTCGCCACTCCCCCTCAGTAGAAGCTGCTATAAATAAGGTTAAAACCAGTGACTAAGAGACATCATCTCAAGAGCTGCTATCTCTTTGCAATGTTTTTTGGTTCCAACCCTTCGAATACATATTGCCCATATTAAGAAGAGATTTTACTGTAAATATTAAGAAGTCCCTAGCACAAGATCTGCTAATATGGCCATCTGGTCTTTTACAATCAACTTGACCCATGACCCCTGTCAAAACCATCATGTGATCCTTTGTTGACAAGTCTTAGCCAATCAATATCTAGAGCTCTAATCAGTTTACGCTAAAACAAACAATCAATCGTTATATTATACCAGCGAGAGAAACAAGGGTTGCTGCGAGACTATTACAGTGTTGCTATATTTAGTAATGACATCACACTTGCTCACTTTATTCTAACATCCATATATAGATTGATCTGGTAAAAACATGATCTGTAGAATCAATTCTTAGATGAGAGAAACTTTAAAATAACGACTATTCAATTAATTCTACTTTTATCTTGTTGAATATGATGATAGCTCTTGAATCTGATCAGCAAGTGATGGACAGACAGTGAACCCCAAATAAGGGAATAACAATCTATGACAAAGAATGGAATGGGATTAATGGTGGGTCAACACAGCACTTTTGGTCATTTTCAGACAAACATATAGTATTTTCATGTTAATGGTTACTAGTAGGCTACAATGGTTACTAGTACTCTACAATTCAAGATTGAGTGGCTTTTTTGCCTACTCTAAATCGAATTCTAACTATTGTAAACAGAGCATAAACATCTCAGATGGGAAACATGAATAAGAAATTGAAAAACGCCTCCAAAAACTGTTCAATGTGAATCAGTATGGACATAGGGTCTCATTTCACAAAACACATGTAAGACTTCCATACCCTTAAATCTAACATTTTTCTCAACAAATCTCTTGAATTTACATATCTTTACCTATGTTTCACTACAAAATAATGTATTGATTTAACTAGTTTTAAACCTTTGTATTCATATAATCAATAATTATACACGTCTTTTCATTCTATTTTAAGAATTAATTAAATTAATTACGAGCTTATATAACCAACAAAATTTATCTTAAAATAACTTACGGTTTAATTAATGTGGATTCTTACATAACAATGGAGATCACTAATTATGCAATTCTAAATCTTCTTGATTAGTCTATATTGTAAACATCTGATATCTTGAAAACGTTTATTTTTTGCTCATTAAAATTCACTTTTTTTCGAATATATGAAATGAAATGAGGTTAAATGTCTTACTTTCCATACCAACTGGGCTAATGAAATCAGATGGACCTTTGCTATGTAGTGTGCTGTAGGGGAATTTTAATTAATTACTGTCTATTGCGAACATCTGTATATCTTTTATATGTTTACTCTCACATAAAACTTTTTTTTATTTTATAATAAATGAAGATGGAATTCTGCCATGCAGTGTGCTGCCATTCTAGCATCACCATCATGATACATTTGATGATTGAATGGAATGAAATGGGGTTTCTGCGCCAACTGGGCCATTGAAGACGGGCATACACTGTGAAATGAGGTAAATTTTGCCCAGACAGCAATTGAATTTCTATTACAAACATCTGTATATCTTTTACTCTCATGCATAAATCTTCTCTTATTTTTTAACAAATGAAGATGGAATTCTGCTATTCAGTATGCTGCCATTCTGAACACAAATGTACACTTGATGAATGAAGAAATGGGTTTTAACTCCTACTTTTTCCCTTCAACTGTGGAGACAGACATACCTATGTAGTGTGTTATGCAGGACAGTTTGCCCCAACAGCAATTGAATTTCAACTGTCAAGGGTTATTTTACATGCACTCCAATGTGTACACAGGATTTGTTTTTTGTTCCAGCCAAAACAATTAGACACTGTTCCTTCCTTGCAAGGCACTGCATCCTGCACCACTGGGAGCAAGAAACCATGCAGGAAAACCCTGAAGAACTTTCTCTGCCAACAGCAGAAGAGAATCCCTTGGTTATCAAGCCAGTGCCTTCCTCACAGAGCAACTTGATTTGAAGAATATAACAACACTGTATGATGACATGACATATGATCATTAGGATGCTAGCTGTATGATGACCTGACTATAATGCTAGCTGGGGAGACAAGACTATATTATAAATATCCTTGACTCAACATGTCATAACAACTTGACATTGTCATTCAAGATAGTTCACTGGTTCACTTCAACTTTCTATCACTGATATGTTAGCCAATATATAATTGTAACGTAATGCCAGTATTGATGAGAGTAATTAACTGGGGGATTTCAAGCTGAATTACACCATTCCAGGTAGGCAGAGTCTGTGGTGAGCACTAGAAAGCATTAGAAGGCTCTGACACTCTGTCTATTGGCAGTGCACTAAGTAGTTGAAACTGGGCATTTCGAATTGAATTACACCTTTTCAGGGTAGTGCCTGTGGGAAGCACAAATCTAGTAGTATGAATAGCACCCTGTTTGAAATATATAGACAGGTACTTTGTAGTTGAAACTGGGCATTCCATGCTAAATTACACTTTTTCTGGGGCAGTGTCAGGAGCACTAGAATACTCTCTAGTAGTATGAATGACACTCTGTCCAAACAACACTGGAAGACACCTGTCACAGGCACAAATTCAGGTTTTGTCAGACATAGTACTACTTCTGACTTTTTGCTTCTGTATTTTTATTGAGATGTCTTGCTGGCACCAAGTAAAACTGTTATTTCCAGATATGGTTTTGACAAATTGTGAGAAGGCCCTGAATGGATTCAATCTCAGTTCCGTCATAATGAGAATCAACGACATATTCCTAATTGCTATTGTGTGTATAATTATACATGCGACAAGTTCTCAGTATTTATAATTAATGGTATACTAATAGACTATTAACACCTCTCAATATCTGTCAATCATATAATTAATTCCGTCAATTGTACAGTTCTCAACAAAATATACAATTATGGCAAATGCAGGTGGGAGCCCTGGGGTCCCATGCCTCCCGTAAATTTCACTTATTATTCTCTTTCTATGACATGTGTAAATTTGAGCCTTTTCTTGGGTGCAGTACAGTGAGGTGGTAGCTGATGACATTAAATGTTATGAGGTCAAGATATTCTCCACAAATCACTGCTGACAACTTGATTTTTCAGTATATTCTCAGAGAAAGACCCTCTGAGCCCATAGTAGCCCTCAACCAAATATCTGGCATTCACCACTGAATCAAGGTATGCTTTTAATGTTACCCTTTTGTTAAAACCCAAAACTATTTATTTTATATATGCTGTTAATATTTCCCTTTTTGAAATAAATATGCAAAGTTTCATTACGTTGTATAAAAAGATTTAACAAAAATAAAAATATATTTTATATATTATTTTGTCTGACATGTCAGATGAAATAGTAAATGGAATGATAATACAATTAACAATAACCATTTGTGTAGATCAAAGAGTGCAAGCAAGTCTTATATCTGTATGTCATGTTTTATTCATAGTGTTACGTGTTAATATTGTCTGGCATATTATTCTCTTAACAACAATATTCAATCTACCTATTACCTACCAATAGAGAGAAATGGGGTTTAACATCCACTCAACACAAAGCAGGTCATTTTGATACTAACTTATGATTCAATTTTATTTCAATAATTTGCTTGCAAGTAGGGATCTTTAGCAGTGGGAGGAAATTGGAGGACCCAGAGAAAACCCATCAGGTAAGATATAGTGGATCCTACACCTAGTCATGTACAACTGTGGGATAAAAATCAGACCATTTGACTCAACGACAGACCTTATGACATAAAGCACATGTGTTAGACCACCTGACCACCCAATCCTCTAAATTACAATATACACATAATCTAATACCTGTAGCTTCATTTACATACTAAGTCATAAAATAACACTTTTGTCCATTTGGTCAAACATATTTATAATACATTTATTATAATTTACTTTCTAAAGAAATAAAAATTTGTCAATATTGAATAATGTCATATATTTTTCTAACGAGACCCAAGATTCTCAATATTGGAAGAAAAAAATATAATACATAAATTTGGTATTCTGTTTTCTTTGTCATACAAGTACAGCTCCTTTGGTTGGTCATCCGTGAAAACTGAACTGTCAATGCATCGTAAAGTAAGATTTTAATCAATTAATAAATAATAAACAGAATAACAATTACCTGAAAATGAGACATATATATTCCTTGTGTTACTATCTCTAACAAGTCCTACAAATGTTATGATGCCTTTCTAAATTTAACCAATAGAATCTAGAGCGGCTATTTAGTGCTACAAGTATTGATTTTTCAGTCAGTCACACACTCCACATACAAGCTATCCAGTTATTCACTGCAGGATCTAACACATGACTGTCATAGCTTCACCATTAACCCTACCCAGTTTCACTGACAGATCAAAAATTATTAAAACAAAACCAACATCCACAATTATTTCACCATTTGACGGCAGTTGTTTTAAGGTCAAAAGAGAATCAATCGACTTTGGGGAAATGTGAAATTTATGGTAATGTAACGCAATACTGACAATTTCAAATTATTATCCTTCAAATTTTATACTTGGTTGCTTTAAAAAAAAAGAGTTTTTCAAACGTCAATAATTCCAGACACCATATTGCTAAACAGATATCTCAATCTCCAACACAATTCACTTTATTACATTAACAAATCTCTCAAATTTTTTAACACATGTTTCAAAAACATTTTATGCATAAAATTTGCAATTGTTATGGATGATAGTTAACATGTTTTGAAAACTTGATTGTGAGTTATTAAGAGTAATCAACTTTGCCAAATTCTTAAGATTATGGGAATGGGGGTTGGAGGGTCAAATGGTTAGCACATGCGCACTGTATCATAAGGTCTGTCATTGAGTCAAATGGCGTGGTTTCTATTCCCCACTAGTACATGACAAGGAGTAGGGTCGCCTGTCCAACCTTGTGTGTTTTCTCCGGGTCCTCTGGTTTCCTCCTACTTAAAGACCCCTACGCACAAGCGAATTATTGAAATATAATTGAACCATATGTAAGTCCCGAAATGACCTAGTTTGTGTGGAGTGGATGTTAAACCCCATTTCACTAAACTTCATAAATATTTCAACAATGCTTTGTTTTGAGTTCTTAAAATTAAGCCATTAATGCAATTCGAACAAATTTTAAACTCCACTGACACAACGAAAATGAAATGAAATGGGGTTTAACTTCCTACTTTTCTGTACCAATAGGGATGATAAAGACAAGTGCCATGTAGTTTGCTAGAAGGAAAATTAGGACTGGACAGCACTCCTACGGCCTACTCTTATATCAAATTCCAACTGTCAAGGGTTATTTTATGTACACAGGACCACAGTATTTTGTACTATCCAAACAACTAGACAGCTGCCTATTCGTTATTGAATTCGAACCTTTACAGGCACATACAATTTTTCAGCCCAAAACAGGGATTAAACCTGGTACCTCCTAGTTAGTAAGCTGGAAAGAAATGGGGTTTAACATCCACTCTACACAAACCAGGTCATTTAAGGACTAACATATGCTAATTTTAGCGTGAGGAAACAGGAAAACCCAGAGAACAACCACATGGTTAGGCAGGTGTCCCTACTCCTTGTCAAGTACATGTACATGCCCACTTGACTCAATGACAGACCTTCTGACCACTTGACCATCCAAGACCCTAAAAAATAAACCCATTATTCTACACTCTTACAATCGATACAGAACTGGTATGAAACCATTTTGAATTATCATATATTAATGTTGATAGGAAATGAAATGAAATTGGGTTTAACGTCCTATTGTTCTGCTCTGTCTGGGATAATAATGTAAATTTTGCTCGGACAGTGGTGCTATGGCCTACTCTTATATCCAATTCCATCTGCCAAGAGTTCCTTTGCGTGCACCACTGACAAGGGGAAATCACGCCAGAAAATCCTGACAAACTTTCTCTGCAAACACCAGAAGCAGGTTAGTGAGCCAGCATCTTACTCACTGAGCCACTGTGGCTCCCAGTGTTAATAGGATGAACCATGCTAAATTTCAATCAAAACTGGTACACTGTGTGGAGTATGATTTGGTTAACATTTATTAGTATAATGATCTAAAGTGTACACGTTAGATCAACCCCTCTAAATGTAAAGCGCACATGTTTAACCACCCCCCACTCAGTGTAAATGTGGTTTTAGTTTATTATGATAAAATAACTTTTGTTCCTTATTCATTCACATAAAAAATATGAAATATTATCCGAGTATTGTTACTGGAAACAATGGCAATAACTCATTACCATTTCCAGCTTTTCACAAAAGATATAAATTAATAATTCTTCGATATTATTCTGAACCAACCAATGGTGTGCACTATGTTTCTTTCTTGCACACAAAAAATAGAATAATGTAGAATAATTAATATTGGAACTGTAAAGCTTTGTGCAAGATTATTAATTCAATCGAAACACAATCAGAATTATGGCAGAAAAAAAAAACAACAATGAGTTTTCGAGTTTCAGTTTTGGTAATGAATTAGCCATTCTTCAGTAAGAACCATTGTGATGGAACTTGTTCTATTGTACCCAGAGAAAAACTTGACGCAGTCAGCAAGTAATTCCAACTGTCAATAAATTGCCTAACACTTGACGGTTTACACACAAGTTTTAATGTGTACTGATGTTATGAAATAACGAGAAAAGGCTTCTGATTTAATGTTACAAAATAAAGGGGTTTCACTAGGTTATTTTGAGACTAACATATGGTACAATGTTATTTCACTAACAAGCTTGGGATTAAAATCAAGCCACCTAATTCAATGACAGATTATTCAAACCCCCCGCCCCTCTCCCTCACCAAATAAAATAATATTCCTAGTATCTGATCGCAGGATTACTCTTTTATTTCTGACTAGCAGCATGTAACATATTTTTATTAACAGGTTTTGTGCATCGTTTAAATTAATTTTCACTTATGAGCACTTTGTTCATAATGATTTCTCATTCCATTTTAATGATCAAATGTTCAATACAATCGTAGCCTTTACAACATGTTTTATCTCCTTAACAGAGTATATTCAACTTCAACTGACTACCCTCAAGTGAAATTTCCTAGAATGTTACGTCTGATTTAAACGCGATATTTCACCTTGAGGTTTTTCTTTAAAATCAATCGAAGTTAAGCACTGGAATCTAAAACACAAATACTGGTACATGCAACAGTGAAACTGCTGTAGCTATAGGGAAGAAAAGTATTATGTTTTCTCTTTAAAAACAAAAAAATCCCCACAACTACATAACTAATAATCACCGAGTGACAAAAATAAATCAATAATATACTAATACAACATCATTTTTCTACAAAATTGAAATTCTCAGGAGATTAAAATGTCTGACTTGCAGATTAAGATAGAATATTACATTTTAGAGAAAAAGCAAGAAATATCATTTCAGAGTAAAAGTCAGAACAAATACAAACCACAATTTACTACACATAATTAAAAAAATATTTATTATTTTCTATGTTTATTTAAGAATCCACATTAAAAACAGACATACATGTATGTTGATAGCTTACAATAATCAAGTCACTTTTTATATGTGTGTAGTACTTGGATAATGTCAATATAAAGACGATTCCTTTTTTCATGTACTACTTGGATAATCATGTAGTACTAGGATAATCCTTATAAGAAGACAATTCCTTTTTATCGTGTAGTGCTTGGATAATTTTAATATTAAGACAATTCCTTTTTTCATGCAGTACTTGGATAATTTTAATATTAAGACAATTCCTTTTTACATGCTGTCCTTTCATGTAATATTAGGACAATTCCTTTTTAGCTGGAATAAATTTACTTTCTGAATCCTTTTTTTTTTGTTTATTCTCCAATCTCCACCCACACTTTAATGCCAGAGCTTCATATTACATAAGGGTTGTTACCTTAATAGCAACATTGTCTACATGTCTACATACCAAAAACCAAACATCAACAAAGTATTAACTCACCTTCTCAGACTGAAATGTTGAGCTGCACATGTATATTCCAACAAATACTCCCCCAAAAAATTCACCGAAAATCATAAATCCCAATATATATATCTATCAACAACACAAATTTCGGATCATTTCACACATTTATCAAAACATAAATCCAAATTTACTATTATTTTACTGTTTTCTTCTTCATTAGCAGTTGATGATCATAATAAAAGTCTGTAA